AAGAAAACATTTGGAGATTACTATTTTAGTGCTGGTATCGTTAATCTCATTAAAATGACGTTAACGCCATAACTGCATTAACACGGCAAATCTCCGTTAACGAGTTACAGCGGATCGCCCCGTGCGTGGGGCTGCACGGCGCCAACGCGTTAACAAGCTAACCGCACTAACGCATTGACGCCATGCAGCCCCACACATGCGGGCTGCACGGCCTAAAATCCTTTCATTTTCTCAAAAATCACCAGTGCGCCTTATATTTTGAATTCTGGTTGTGCTTACTGACCGCAAACCAATTTTATGTGGTACAGGCACTCAGCATTCTGTCAAAAAATGTTTTAGTACGACTTTGGTAAGCTATCAAGCCGCACCGCTTGATGGATTGTCAGAGCATTACTGTACTGTGCGCGTATAAGGACCACAAATGGCACCTGTTAATAGACACTGTTACAAAGCAGATTTCAAAATCAAGGCTGTCAGTCTCGCAGTAGAACTTGGGAACAGAGCAGCTGCGAAATCTGTCTTTGTTATTATGCTCAGCGTCTTTTAGTTTACATTTTGACTGCACAATTGTGAGCTTTTTGTTATGCACAAAAACAACATTGTTTTATTTTAATTATGGAGCATTATTATTTAATAAATGCTGATAATTTATTTCTGAGTAATTTCTTCATGTACATCTACGCTGTATGTTAATAAAGGTGCCTGTGTGAGATCTGGGACACAGCTTTGACTAAGAACTCTCTTTTTGTTCTTACTTTATGGCTTAAAAAAGAAATATATATCGCCATCCAGCTAAAGAATATCGAGATACGAATTTTAGGTCTTATCGACCAGTCCTACATTATTATTTAGGATTTTCTGGTAGAAAGCAGAATTCATGGTTTCATCAGTTACAGCAAGTCATCCTGAAGCAGCAAAGCAGCCCCAGACCATCACACCACCACCACCATGTTTGACTGTTGGTGTGATATTCTTTTTATGAAATACTGTGTTAGTTTTATGTCAGATGCAAACCTTCCAAAAATGTCAGCTTTTGTCTTGTCAGTCCACAGAATATTTTCCCCAAAATCTTGGGGATCATCCAGATGTTTTTTGGCAAATGTGAGATGAGCCTTTATGATCTTTTTTTGGTGAACTCTCCCATGGATGCCATTTTTGCCCAGTCTCTTTCTTGTTGACTTGACTCATGAACTCTGACCCTAACTGTGGCAAGTGAGACTTGCAGTTCTTTGGATGTTGTTATGGGTTTTTTGTGACCTCCTTGGCTATGTCCATATGTATATGGGTATTTTTTTATAATAGGGATTTCTCAGAGTGTGTTTTGAAAAATATCTCAAAAGCTGTGAAAAGTGTGCCAGATCATCAGATAGTGATATAACGGTAACCGTGAAGAAATGATGGCTGATTAAAAGCCACAGCGCACAGCCTTTTATCATAAAGGGAGATAAAAATGCACACCTTTGTCCACATGTAAATGCAGAAACGTAGTTTTCTGAAATCTTCATCCTGACAGGAGTTTTACAAAAGCTCCATTGTCAGTATGCATGAAACAGACTATGTTTACAAAAAATACCCGTGTACATGTGGCTGTAGCAAAGGAGGTCACAAAAGAACTAAAACGAACATGTAAAGAACTGCAGGCCTATGGGCAGAGTTCATGATTCCCCTGGATGAGTCTTCGATGCACTCCTGGAGTACTTTCGGTAGGTTGGCCACTCCTGGGAAGGCTCGCCACTCTTCTCCATTTGTGGGTAACTGCTCTCACCGTAATTCACTTGATGTCAATTACTTTGTTTCTCGGCTACTTCTTTACATTGTGTTGGCTAGGCAAACTGAACTTGGAAAAAAATGAGTTAATAAGGTTAATTCATGATTGAACAAGGGGGTCACTTACCTTTTCCCTTAGGGCCACGTAGGTTTGGGTAGCACTGAGTAGCGTTTCTCCCTTAAATGAAATCATCATTTAAAATTTGCTTTTCTGTATTTTTGTCTAATACTAAAAATAGTTTGTTGATCTTAAATTTGCACAGTAAGAAATGAATAAGAATTGGGGCATTTTTACAGCACTGTAGATGAAGTTATGTTTTGACCACATGCTGAACAAATACACTTTTAGCTTTCAGCTAAAGTCTCATTTATGTATTTTGGCCTTAGAGTTCTCCTGTTGGCAGCGTTACCATTTGGACATGTAGGGGAAATATTCAGTAAATGTTGGTGGGTGGGAGCAGGTTAAATAGTGTTTTCGTCACTGAATGGTGGATGTTACTGTCTGAAGAGCCCTGAAACGCTTTGAAAGTGGCCTAGTCATTGGCGTCTTAGCTTTAGCCTCTGACCATCTGTTTCTATACAGCGCGCAAGCTTTGAAC